CTGGTGTCGCAGGTGACGAGCTGGGTCTTGAAGGTGTGTGTTTAAATGTGTCTCATAGAGAGGCGAAGTCGATGTGATCACTCGGTCCCCTGTCTTTAGCAGTCGTTGAATACTACGCTCACTTCAGGATGGAGTGCGCACAGGTGCCAAATTTCATTAGCAGAGGAAGTGAGGCAGCTGCACCACGAGCCGGTCGAAGCTCACTGTAGGTGAACACGCGAGCATTTCGGAGGCTTCCATAGTGCCACGGTGTGTTGCTGAATTCACGTGTTCGCACGATTCCATGGGGAAGGGTTCTCAGACGCAAGGTAGCCTGACAATAAACCTAAGGGGACACACAGCGCAACGCAGGTTGAAGGTAAACGTGTCACGAATGGACGGTTATGTCCTGAAATGCCATAGAGCCTTATTTGATAGGCTGTATTGGGCTATATTTATACGATTTTGTTTATTGATTGTCGCTGTAATCTTCGTCGTGCTTTTGCATTTTACCAAAAGTGAAGATCTTTAGGGGCAAAAATCGTTGTCTTTTTTATCGCCTAATGTGTATTGAAAAAATGTTAATTTGATAAAATAATATTCAATTTTTTGGAATCATCATGATAAATGCAAGCCGTTTTCTTGCCTTTATAGCCCTGATACTGGTATAACGGCTGCGCCCATCCCAGCACCTCGGTATGCACCTAAATCACCTCGTATGTGGTCAAATCGACTAGGAAAACACGAACTCATTTTGATTATTTTCTTCTTAGGGCTCAATGTTGCTTTTGTGGTTCTCGAGAATGATAGTCGAAGATTAATCCCATGAATAGGTGATTGGTTTAGTTATATGTGCTATGGCAACTTGTCCCTTTGTTTCATTAATAAATTTGGCTGGATCCAGTTGACACCCTAAACTCCGTTTTTATTGTTGTATATTATTTGAGAAACAGCAGGAAGCAGTTGACGATCTTACGTGGGTGTGCCTTAAGCCATGACTACTTTTTCCACAGTATGCACTGGTTTCCCTGGGATATTTGGGATTTTAAAATGTCATTTTCTGAGAACTTATGCTTACTTTAAAATGACTTTTGAGTGCTTACAATATTTACCAGGCTGTTGAAAGCTTGACAACGTGACTGGCAGAAGTAAGGCGTATTTTAGCATTATAGGATTATTAAAAACCGAGCCGAAATTACTACCATTAGGCAAGACGGTAGAAGAGGGTTTTATCGGAACAGCAAGCTCGGGGTGATAGCCAATAGGTACGCACCAGCGGGTCTCAGCCAACGGTGGCGTTGAGCGGAAGTTCTGCCCCCTTTGCCCCTCTTATTGGCCGGTTCCCGCCGGGAGTTGAACTCGCGTCCACAGCGCCTCGACAACGATTGGTTTGCTCAAAGTGCTGCGGGGGTGTTGACTGCCATTGTTGTGCTATCCCGGCGTGGAAATCTCATTAAGCTTGCATGCGTTATCAGGCGCAACAGTGAAGTGACATCACAGTAAGTTCACTTTTTTTCTGGTTTTTAAGCTAAATAGCGTACTTTAAGTAAAAAGATTAGCTAATTACCGTCTGCTGAATTGGACAAAATTATTAGATTTTGTCCAGGTAATTGAACCGCACCGTGTTCAAATTTGGCTTAGTAAAGTGAGCCTCCAATACGCTACTTTGAATGTCTGCATGTTTCAAAGTCAAAATTTCTAAAAATTCACCCACACGACTCAGCCTTGTTTGGATAAACTAAGGCCAGTACGGACCCAGCTTCAAGTGAAAATACTCCTTGGTGTGGAATTACTTTTGACGAGTGTGCGAGTTGTTTCATTTGGCTTGACCTCAGACACTGTGGTGATGACCCCATGCAGGGTCCTGAGGTTCAAGGGGACGAGGCGAACTGCCGTCTCGCGTCCTCACGCTCCCTTGGATTTCAGCTGAAGCAATCCGAGCGTCTAGACAAACAGTCAGTTTACGTGGCTGTGACAATTATTTCTTCCAGCAGTGCTGAAATCCTAAGACATGCATCATAGATTAAAGCGAATTACTGCATATCTGCGAGTTGAAACTATCGAAAAGCGAGTAACGGATAATGATATTAGTGTTCTGCTAGTCTTTCTTGATCTCCTTTTGAAACCCTTATCTGGCTTAACTAGGCAGTGCCCTACCAACCAAACTACCTAGTAAAAAATTTCTTTGCTCTCTACTTAGCGATCAACAGTAGGTAGTTTTCACCTGGAAATGCTAGAATCAGTGGGAATTCAGACTTGCTATGGGTAATGTGATTTTTTTGTTATGCTTTCAACCTTGAAGAGAGCAATTTAGTAAAAGACTAATGAGAATAGCCCACGCACATGAACCGGTGTGCATGCAAGTGGATGGAAAAGGAGTTTTCTTGAAATTTTGTCGATGCGATGGTTCTCTTGTAGTCACACTTGGTGTGGAATATGGAAGCAATTTTTCCCGACTTGCTCTCAGACTAACTTGTGACTGTTTAAAAGTTTCTAGGGCCCAGCCATTGAGATTGGAACATTTGTTTTATATTATGCAGTCTATTTGATGACTTTGCTGGCTTGAAAAGTCTCTTCTTTAACATGGATGTCTGAGTGTTCAGGAAAGACGTTTTCACTTTTCGTCTCTACAATCACAAAAGATTTTAGCATTGTTTTGTCAGTTGAATAAGAGCAATAGATTCCTCTGGTTGTGACGTAAAACCATTAAAAATCGTGACAATTTCTAAATGTGCGCTTTTAAAAACATACCGAAGGAAGCACAAGAGTTGAGTGTGTGTGCGGGAGTACGTGTGATTGTGTATTCATGTTCAAGCATAATTTTAACAGGTGAGCACAGACAATAGCGGCCCAGGTAAATACCACTTAGAATATACCCCAATGAAAAAAATTAACTGAAATGGACATGTCAATTTACACAGCGTCCTGAATTTTCGTCTTGTTGAGTACCCTAAAAGCGCAACCTTGTGTGACAAATTTTTAGACAAGAGAGCAGGATATAGCACAAAATTCTGACCAATCAGACCGCATTTCCGTTGTAAACATACTTCCAGGAAATCTACCGGGGATATTGAAGATAACGTAAATGGAAATAATCCTAGTTCAAGGGGTTCTTCTTGTCCTCTCAATGACAATGAACGGAAGCTGTTGCATCTCTTCAAGTCTGTTTCTAAGTAGCACAGGCATGAAACCATGGCCAGCTGATGTTCGAGGTAAACGCCTCCGTCGTGATTAGCTTCAAATACGGAGCATTTGCGAGTTCAGCAGAATGCCCGAGTTGTAGAAAGGGAATAAATTTCCCCCCACAAGTTTCCACCTATTTCTTCAACGGTAAATTTTAAGTTTTTGCTGGCTTAAATTGCTATCTCCGAAGCTACAGGGTCTGCAAAACAATAGCCATGCGATTTGACAAGGCAGAATACCCTTTAACCTGCGCACCAGGCTAAGCATATCTGAGCATGCGGTTGCACACAGCGCCTCTGAGATGCACATTTTTATGCAACTACTCTGTGGGCTGAAAGTTCAAAAACCATTTGGTGCTACTTGGCATTCTGATTATCAGGGTTGGTAGAAGACAATTTCGACACGACGCTTATTGAAGTATTTTATCTGAGGAGTTTATTGTCGAGAGTGTGCATCTAAATCACCACGATTTCCCTAAACCGCAATATGTTGCGACATTTTCTGATGCAGTCATGGTTACGTCAAATTACACAGCAGGAGTTCCACAATCTAACGGTCGAAGACCAGCATTTCAGTGATGGAGGTTCATCCAAGGCACTGCTGCTAACATTTAGTGTCAAGTGGTACACCACTCTATTGTTCAAAAGATAAATGTGTTCTGATCTACAGTGTCGACATCCTAAAGAGGGCATTGAACTGGGTCTCGTGAGTGGGTTTCAAGTATTCGGCACTTCGTGTCCTTATAACTACCCTCCTAGAGAAACAAAAATACGCATAATTACTTCGCGTACTCGATGTGCTTTTCAATCAGGAACCGCCGTCAGCACCAACCAACAGACTTTTCCTTGGTCAGAGCTATCGTGCAAGTGATCAGCACATTCGAAGCATAAAAATAAAACACAGCCTTAAGTGTCGCACAACGTTTTAAAAGTCAAACTCCTTTAATGACCACTCAGTCACTTAAACAAGTCCGGACAGTTGCAAATAACAGTTGACATGGCCATCTTTCCTCCCCAGATGCTGGCGATCACAATTTCCATTCTCCTTTATTGGTGATATTAGCTCTTGTGGTATTTAGTCATAAAATGCACCTATTTATCAAACAATTCGCACATATTTTGACGTGTTTAAAAATGGGAGACCTTGAAATTTAACTGCACGTGTGGAAAATAGTCACTATCATGAGTTATTTATTCCGTTACCATTTCAACGGAAATCACAAAGCCCTAGAATCAACCAATCTCGCTTGATGACACGATTTCGTAATATAATTATCGATTGGTCTTCAAATCGTCAATTTGATGACTGATAAGGATGCAAAGTATGAGACAATCTGCACGCCTATAAGCTGGATAGATTTATTAAAGTATTCCATTACCGTAACTAGGGCAAAAGACATTGGTTAGCGGAAACTAAGCTACCCGTCTTCGAATGTTAGAGAAAAGCTAAAAGCTGTCTGAATTTACATCATTTTGTGACAAAGAGAAGTAGCACTACCACCATTCTCTTGTCTGAGAGCTCTCCAGTTCACGAAACTATGCAGACGTATGTAGAAGTGACGCCTAACTTGCACAAATAATGCAATGGCTGAATTATAGGAAAAATATTTGAAGCATGCTTTCCGTGTTCGTGAAACGAATATTTGGGTGAGCGAACATGACTGGTTCCTGTGTTAAACAAATATCGGGTAAAAAGGATTTTGTGAGCTGTTTGCTCCCCCAACCTCATATCTGAACACTCGCTGCACAATTTCCTCCAGTGGAATCAGTTTACTTAATTTGCCAATTCGATCAATTGCAGTAATTTATGAAACTAATGTGTTTAGCCTCAAACCAGTCACTTTTGAACATCCAACTTACCACCACAGTTCAGTCTGCATATTTCAATCTAAACAGTCCGAGAACAGTTCAGACGTATCATGAACCTGCGTTGGATTCATTTGATTACACCAGCTCATTACAACCCTGTGAGTATGTGCGATTTTCAGGTTGCATCAGCGCACAAGGGACCTAATGAAACGTGTCAGTAGTTCGTTGTTTTCGATGCAACGTCAATTTGGGCCAAAGGTCAACCAACACATGGGGCGTTCTGCTGGTGCTCATTACCTCATGGGTGTTGCATAAGAACTAGGTTTAGTGAGGCTACCTTCAACCCGATTTGGCTCTCCTCAACAATATTTAAACGTCTTCGTTAGGTGGGGGTCAGGCAGAAAGGACCTAGAAGATCTCTTCGATACCTAAATGCATCAAAGTTACTTATGCTATTGGCTAATTTGTGATTTTCATTTAGCCATAAATCGACTGCCACGTAACATGCCTAATCTATGGGACGTTTTGGTCAATTTCTTTTAAATATGCTTACTGCTGTGAAGCTTGGTGTTATGAATGCTTAAGATTGCGAAATTACAATTAAAACATGAATATTATCTCCGAACTGTTAATTAGACTATAGGAGAAGTAATTTGCACCTACTAAGAACATGGGGACAGTTAATGGCAATTAGCCGCCTTCCAGCAACTCTTGATACCAGAAACGTTGGTGAAACTTCATAAGCTAACGCCCACGGTGGCATTCATGTTAAAAGAATCTTGAAATCTACGATGGCTGTTTGTAGGTGTCTTTTGTGTAAAATTTACATTGATTAAAATTCAGTGGGATTTGTAGAAATGCGCTGTGGATTCACTTGAGATGTTTGTCTTAATTAGGGAATAATTATCGCGCGCAAATATGATTCACTTTACGCTATGCCACGCGACAGTCTATGCGTCATTGGAATGTTATTGATTTTTTTCGCGAGGTCTCACGTTAGGGGATTTTTCTGACAGGTGTTTTTGTTGCGTGGGTAATTAAATAGCTATTTTTGTCAGCTGGTTAATGAATTTTAAAATGCTGATAACATGCCTTATATTAGCTGAGTTTGAGAACACTGATAGTGCATGATATTTACGCTTGCAGATTACTGATTATAGATCCGATCCCTAAGGTTTGGTTGCTCTAGGATGTCTCGAATCAAACACTGTACTTCCATTGGCCAATAATCGTTACCAGACCATTCAATGTACTAATACTTGATGGATTATCTTTGACCTCCACTTAGTCGATGACATTTGGTTGTGGTCTCGACTGCGTAAATGAATATCACACATGCCTTAGATTATACAGAAATTAACATTGATTTCTTTAAGATAATGGAAGTTATCTCTTAGAATATCCCCCATATTTTCATTGCCGTCAGTGAGACACTTAAAATTAAACATATGAATTTTCCCAGTTATTTATAGGTTAGTTCAATTAGCTATTTTTATCCAAAAAAGTGCTGTGAAGTAACCCACGGAAATGAAGCTCCGAAATCTAACTCAGGTGCCTTAGTATCTCTCGGATTCAAAATTTGGCTCCAAGAATAAATTGCGTTTTGGATAAACTAGTGTGCTTAGCATTACTTTCTCACAAATTGCCTGCATCGGGCCGCTCTTAACTCAGAATAAGATGAGCCATAACCAGCCAGGGCTCATAATTTCTGTCAATCCTCTTCTGTCATCAACAGGCGTGACGGTAGTCGGTTTGCATGCACACATGCGTGTGTACGCACGCGATCAGAATCCACAAAAAATGATCCCTCATTCTGGAGCTTGTCACTACAAGGAACAGTCCACGAAAAACACATTAGTGCTGCTTTGATTGACATAAACACGGGGTTAGTCTTGTTTTTTCAAGTAGCCATTGTCAAGCAGACTGAATAGCAGTTTGTGGCAAAACTCAAACGATTCTAACTGCATGCTCACTCGTGAATGCAGCCCAATAAGTAAGGTGGTTAATTGTACTAAAGAAAATTTCACGACAATTTCCAGGGCAACATCCTGTAGGTCAGGTTCGTTGTCATGGCCCTCCTCACACAACACTGATCTGTCCCATTCTCACCGTGTGTTTCCTCTACAATAAGCCCTCCGTAGTGGTGCTTAAAAAATGTTCCTTTTTAAACGGATTAAGCGTATTGAATGACCTTTTTGGGATTAAACATAACGACAACTCAACTAGGCGCCAAACTATTTCGATTCTCCAGCAATCCATACTATCCAAAAAAACTTAGTCTAGCAGATTATCGATCCAGTTGCTTTTACTTATCACGACCGTTTGATTAACGATTCCACTCGAGGCTTTTATTATTTCCAATTTTATAGACCTTCATAAATATAAAGTTATAGATCTTTGGTTTATGCATAGGTAGTCACTTAGAAACAGATTTGCATTCTTTGTAAGATCTAAAAATGGTTTACAAGGGCACCTTATCCTCGTAACCTGGGTGAATTGCGAAAAAAAGCTATATTCTGCAAAATACACGGCACAGTGTGTTTCGGTAAGGCGACTGTGGAGGAATGTTGAAGTGAACAAGTTGCCATTTAGCAGAACTAAGCTAAAATCTGCGAAGTTATACCGTCAAGTCACACTGCTCGATTTAGTACCAGCAAAGGAAAAACCATTTAACAATGTGGCCAGCAAAATTATTCCTGCTAAATTAGAAACGTTAAGCTTTTTATGCAAGCTATTCACGAACCTGGTGCCAGATGAATAAACATTTCACAATTTTGCACATTTCACCGTTGACATCATGAAATTTTGTTACCACAATAAACTCGGGCAAAATTATTTACTATAAATTAACTTTTTAATCTAAAGAGGTAGTGCTTAATGGAAATCCTTAGTTAAATCGGTATCTGCTTATAAATCCAACGTTTTCGGGCACATCATTTCACCCTAAAGTTAGTTTTTTTTACATTACTTTCTAGGGTTATCATTTGCGTTTGTTAGGTGGCCCAAATTAAGCAAATCAACTTTCGGGCGGGTCACCACCCCAACCGGAAGGTCGCTCAGCTGCCCTGACCCTCGCTGATAATTGTAATTTTCGTTGTCACTGGTCGCTTTCACGAACCACAATAAACCGTTGGTTGCCACTGTATTAAGTAAATTTCTCGTATAAGCAAAATATTATGCACTTTAATTTAGCTTTGTGGTCTGCACATATCTAATTTATGTCCCAAGGATAAAGACCTAACAAGAGTTGCAAATTTGGTACAGCTAACCATCACAGAGGTCCTTAAAGAAGTTGTAGAAAATCAAGTGCAGTTAAATGTGACATAAAACTGAATAAATCTGTGAAAATGCAATGATATTTAACCAAAACAGTAAACTTTGAAAATTATGTGTTAAGGAATATGCCATCGAACCACGTAACATGAAAAATGGAGATTCAAAAGACTTGATGACAGCAAACTACGACGACCAATGATATCGCTAACACATGTTTCTAATGATTTTAAAAACACTGTAAACTACCATACGTCTCACCACATGACAAATTTTCTTAACGGGGTAATTTAATTTTCGAAATTTATTCCCTGTGAAACATAGCACCACTCCGACTTTCCGCCAATAATACTCTTAATGGAATGAATTGATTTAGCTAACTGCCTTAAAAGCGGAAGCATTTAAATTGCATGCCACAAAGCGAGGCGAGCTCTGTGCTGCGGCTCCTAGAGTCTTCAAGGAAAGCACCTCTTTCAACGGATTTTGTTTTGATGGAGCAAATCGTGATTATTACACGCACGCGTCTAGCTTCGCGTGCCATTCGCCTGAGAGAATTTCTCAATTGGGCCAATCAACGCCTAAGAGTGAGCGATAAGCGTATCGATCAGCAGGTGAGCACGCGCTCATGGGGCAGCCAGTAAAACGCGGACTGCACAGGCCAATCAACTATTCGCGTCTTGGGTAGCCCCAAATTTGAACCCTGCTAATGTCACAGGCGGAATTTAATTCGCATAATTGTCTCCAAGCCCGGTGTGACGTGTTAAGGACATTCGGTCCAGTTCAGTAACACGTACAGACCGCCGATGAATAGAACAATGTCACTAGCTGACACTACTACAGCGGAGTTATTAACAGTATCCAATCCGTACCAACATATGACCCCATTTGAAACGGGTAAGGTACCGGTAGTTGGAGGAGCCCAGGGGACTACAAGCACGGTTTATATCGTGCCCTCTGAACAGCTAATTTCCACAAGCACACAGTTCCCAAACGTTGGAAGTGAGGATTTGACAGACAACCCTTCCATGATCCCAACGCAAATTAATTCAAAAGATGTTGGAACCAACCCACGAAGACCGCACTCAATGTCAGGCAAGTAAAAAAGGGTTCTTTTCTATGTATCCGAATTTTATCTAACAAAAACATATACCAAGGAAATTATTGAGAAATTGTGTTTATAAATTGGACTTATGGAAATGGGTGTATGTTACCACTTAGCGGACTACCTTTAGGATTTCACCTGCATGTTATTCTACATAAAGGTGTGCTGTTATTACTAAAACGATTCACTTATGCGTCTCGAGTAGATACTACAAGGCAACATTTAGAATTAGGTAGACTTTATTTTTAAAAAATCACCTTTAGTCGTCGCAAATTGAGGCCTCTGCAAAATTCTGTGCTTTGTTCTTGGATTGGGCCTAACTTTGGATTCTAGTACAGAGCTGGTTTTAATTTGGCGAAGACAAGTGTTGGTTTTGGCGATGAGCGACTTTGGGTCCATTAAGAACAGTGAGGCAGAGGCAGGTCCCGAGGGCATTCCGTCTTTCTGACGGGGCTGCCTCTAATCTGTGTTCCAATGATAGCAACTAACTAGACCTACCAGTGAATGCTAAAGCTTTTAACACAAGTTTTTAGGACTAAGTTGAATGAAGACATGCATCCACTCCACTACGGTTACCAAGCATTAGAAGTTGTCAATTAGAGGGGCATCACTAATCCCAAGTATTGACAATGTGTGAAAGTTAGGTCCAAGTTTGCTGTTAGAACGTGACTTTCCGCAACATTTTTCCACGGTTAAATGGATTACTGCACACCCTGACCGTAAACTGATACATTTGAGGGACAAAGTGTGTTGTCAAATCATCGCATGCCATCATCCGGATTTTCTAGACTGGCATTTCCGCGTTTGAAATTTCACCAATGGTCATGTTCTAGTATTAATGACGTATTTCTAAATTTCAATGAAGTCAAGTGTACACAAACTGAGAATGCTGCTGCAGCCTTCCTCAGTACTTGTCATTCCAAATTCTTGCTCCACTCATAGGGTGTGCACACTTGTTTGAACTCGACTGATAGCCATGACAACTGAGTCGGTCCTGGCTCCGCTGCCTGCAATTCTCTCACAAATATGCTTGCATATGCACGTACACACACCGACGAATAAGAGCCAGAAATACCCTTCGGCATGCTCACTTTTAACTAGACAGATTTAGTGCTCTTGATTTCTGATTCTGTGATCCAAACTCACTTGCGCTCCCGTGCTCCATCACCTGTCAAGTTTGTCAATTTTTTTTGGTTTTTTGAATCATGTTGCACATCATCTATCTCGATCGTTGAAAAATATTAACTTTTCTGATTGCTACTTGTTAAGTCGAATGGGTTGTTTAGTATTTTGTTGATGACACAGAGAAATCCTTACACCTCATATCACGGATGCATTTCCTCATCGAAAAACAATTTTTTACAGCACAATCTCATTTACGAATAACAACTTTTTTCAACTGTAGACCACGACTTTCCACCCGAACTTAAACCTCCAAGTTACCACCCTCCTCTCTTTACATGCTCTCCCCAACAGTATCCAATGTGACGTTTAATGAATTACTTTCACCTCCAAACAAGGCATCAATCGAACAAAGCAGACCCATTCGCGATAATGGAGGGCATTTTTGGAATACCACCACTTTATTAGCGCAAACAGCCTCAGCAAAAGCCTCAGCACACACCTACAAAAGTAAAACACAAATGACTCTGCATTCAACGAGCTCATCGCTTAGCCACCTAACCAGTCGATGCGGGTAACGCTTGTCAGATCAACAAAGCAGTTCTAGTGTGTGATTCACTTATAGCAGTAGATATTGGGTGGAGATTTACACTAAGAAGCCACGCTTCTTAGTAACAACATCAATTCCTTTTCGCGTGAACATCACAACGGAGATGCATTAGTCCATAACCTAACCCTTTCTTCAGTTAGCACAACTTCAGTATATATTACCTCCTGGCAATAATTCGTAAGCAAAAATTAACTCTAAAAAGCATTGTATTATGATTTGTATTTGGCTCGTAAAGTGTAATTACGCTTTAGAGAAAATGTAACTTTATCTGACTTATTTGCTGTCAGTCGGGCGAATCTTCGTCGCATTTGGCTAACAGTGACACGACATTTTCGTTACTAGTGTGTATAATTGGGCTGGATGAATTTTCCGTGATGTCAATTTGAAGGCTCATTAGTTCCAAGAAAAAATCTTATTATAGTGACGGGCTCTGTGTTGTTAAAATGAGTTCGAGTGGAATCCAAATTCGCTTCGAGGACGCATCCAGGGAGGCTGGGCAACAAAAGCAATATGCACGTCATAAAAGTTTGTCCAATGTGTGATCAAAATAGGTTTTTAAGCATGAAATGTCCATAAGTGAGACAAAATTTGATTTCACTCATGCAATGTTCAGTGGCTATTTTTAGTTTGCTCAAAATTCCATAATTTTCGTGAAGTACGGAGTACTACTTTGTGGTACCCACCAGTCCTCTACTTAGAGGACTGGTTATTACATTGATTCAGCCAAACAGTGCCGTTAGGTTCGGGCCTAAACACACGGAGGACAGTAAAGTAACTTTAAATAAAATATTGATATGTCGTGCGAATATTGTGCATGCCGATAGCGAGGTGGAAAATGGAAGCCAAAGCTGCCAGCTTCAGGCATTGACAGCGTGAGTGATGGATCACCGTGGAACGTCTTCCTCGCATCCAGGTGTTTCGTGAAATTATTGCGCTTGTGCTACGCCAGTCCTTTCAAAATGCCTTCCATTAAATTTCACGTAATAATGCAACACCGTGGTGAGAAATAAACGTCAAAGAGTAGTCAATACAATAGGGTGAATTACCTATTGTTTTTGCTCGAAAATTATCAGACTTTTACCTTGAATTAGGCTTTCTTTGCAGACTTAGTGAATGTGCAATTTGAGGCACACAAAGGCAATTCAGGGATTATGAAGAATAAGTTTGCAGCAGACATTTAATCAAATTATCAAACCGGGAACCCTTGAAAAGGCAGGAAAGAAATTTTATAGTAATAAGAAACAAGAAATTTAGGGTATTTATTCATCTGCAAAATGTTTAGGAATCACGATGGAATTTCCTAGTCGACTTTTGATTATCGTTTAAAAGAAACCACCTGCTCATGCTTTGAGTAGCCTTTAGAAGAGGTTCGTTCAACAATTCGTTTAAATTCTTATTCAGTGAGAAGCAGGAACTTAAATCTGAGAAAGTGTCCCACAAGAACATTTTTTAATAGATAAAAAATACCTTCTTTTAAATTGTGTAGAAGAAAACGTTTCACCAGTTCCGGGACTCCTGCAGACTTCGCCTACAGACAAGCCTGTCACAGCAGTGACTTTGCAACAAACTCACAAAACCTCCACCTCCATCGCTTCCATTCTCAGTCTCCCCAGCGCTCCAGTCGATTTCACCGCGACGGGCACCTCCGCTGCCGCTGTCAGTTCCACCACTTCGCCCCCACTGGTCTTCTCCTCGGGCAGTCTGTTGACACTCAGTCGGTCCGAAAGTTGCCTTGACACCTCACTTTCGACTGCTTCCAGTTCTAACACATCGATTACATCGTCCTCTCTGCCGACCACACCCACAATTGTCGAACCGCAACGATCATCGCAACCATCCGCGACAATGCAACAGTTTCCACAGCCCTCAAGCACACAGGCAGCTACGTCTATCATTTGTTCCACACCAACACGTAGGCGACACAGAACAACATTTAGTCAAGAACAACTCGATGAACTGGAGTCCGCATTCCGCAAGTCACACTACCCGGATATTTACTGTCGTGAAGAGCTTGCCAAAATGACAAAACTACAGGAAGCCAGGATCCAGGTACAGTGATCATTTCCTTCAAC